ACTTCCTGTGCTTTGTTGCTACTTAATTCAAACTTACACTCATGACTCAAAAGGAACCTTGTTCTTCAATTCTGCGTTTTGCACAACCCAGTGTTAGCAGGTCAAATCCCAGAATGCACTGCAACGCTGGGTCTGCTGGTGTGTCGTGGATGGCATGGCGATGTTTGGTTAGGCCTGAGGCCAGCTTATTCTACAGGAATTTCCTGTCTAATTTCCCCTCCTGATTCTATGAGTAATGCCCAAAGCTTTTTAATTGCGCTCTAAGACCCCGGCCACTCAAAGGGCCATTATTGTTGCCGAGTACTTCCTGTAAAACGAAACCATTTACCCCTTTTAGATCCTGGGATTAGGGTACAACAAAGACGAGAGGGGTTGTGTTTGTTTGGCCCGAATATTCAAAGATGAATGACATCAGAAAGAGGCGTTTAGAGTTAAGAGGGACAACGTTTATCTGATCAAGACCCTCCTACGCTCTTGCCTAAGATGGTTTAGTTGAGCATGTGCTCAAAAACCTGACCAGTGGAAACCGGCTTGGACCAGCAAGCTACCGTAGGCTGGTTTAAGCTATGTTTCTTTTCAGAAGGGTTAACTCTCTGTTTATGTTTTTTTCTTCTTCATATATATAACTAATTGCTCGTAAAACTGTAGGATATCAGAGTTGTGTGCCATTCAGAATCGAATTGAGAATAGTCACAGCTGTTTGACATCAGAAAGAGTTAAGATGGATGACTTTTATCCTCTTGCTCTTTATTGGCATTGATGGTTCTATAAAGAACCATTAAAATCCATGGAACCTTTCCATTGCACCGATACTGTAGTGGAAAAAATGGTTCTTTAGGGCCCTTTCACACATACCTTGTTTGCTCTGGACTTTCGGACTTTCCAGTTTGGTCCGAATCAAAATGACAGGTGTGAAACCTTGTGTATAGTTGGTGGGTGCCATAAAAATAACAATATAGTTGCAACGATATGCGTCTGTTCATTCATGTTGTCAAAGTTACCCGCCGAATTGACGACACGCTGACGTCAGACGCACGTCCATTTACAAACCAATCAATGTCAAGATGCAGCCCACACAGATGATGACGACAGGACGCAAGTATGATAGTAAAGTTCTGTAGTGCGCTCGCATAACTGCAGTGTGAAACCAAACCAAAACTTTCTGAAAGTATAAAATGTATCAAAACGTGAACTTTGGTTCGGACCTTGGTGCAGACTTTCAGGTGTGAAAACGCCCTTAGAAACCAAAAAATGGTTCTTTTAACCCCCTTTTTGGAACTTTATAGAAATGCCCCGTGTTTGAACGCTAAGCATTGGCCAGGTGAAGAAGTGCATGAGAAAGTCGTCCGCTCTGGAGCCGACACTGAAAAAGTGCGTCACCCCGCTGTGCCGTTCCCCCAGATGTGAAAACAAATGTTATCACCTAAAAACTAATAGATGCGAGGGTCTTGGCGGAAACTCCAGTGCGCGCCACAGCCCTGGGGGATAGAGCTCAGTGAAGCTGGTAAACGTGCCTCTTGAACTCTCCAGAGCGATCCTCTTTTGTTCTTCCCGTTGCGGAGGAACAATGGAGCTGTCGGCATGATCGAATAATCCTGCCCGCTCCTCCGGTGACGGGGGCCTGGACGAGAGCGGGTCACAAACGGGGTGGGTGTTTGTGCTGACATGAAAAATGCGACGGCTGGAAATAACAGTGGTAATGTGGATAATTGAGGGCGGGCACAGATGAATGAGGCTGCGGGGTAACGTGTCGTTCTAATGACAGGGACCGGGGCGGGTTCACGTTCGCCGCCGTCTTATTTTGGTCAGGGGTGTTTACGCCACTGCAAACGTTCTGCAGTGTTTGGGTTTAAGTTGTGTATTTTTCATGCTTCCAATTACCCTAGTTTGTGTTTTATTTGTGCATCAGGCAACATCGTGATTAAAGTCGCCTTAACCGGACCCGCGTGATTAGGATTCATGCGGTGGTCCTTGAGAATCCCAGCAGCGGCTCCGTCATGTTCTGCTGACCCACTTCACTCTTTCTCTTTGTCCTCGACCTCTCTTCCCATCCAGTAATTCACCCGCTGCATTAGTAATGGGGCATTAACTGCGACCGGGCGATGAATGTGGACGCTAGCGTGCCTCTCACACCCAGCATGATTATACTCTTTACAGGCCTTCGACAGGCAAGTTCTCAGTCAAGTTTCCTTTTCTCACTAGTTAAAGGTCAGAATCGCATGTCAAACCCAGTGTTTAGATGCTCTGTTTTTTCAACAACATTACGGTTGCACATGTCAGGTGTGTTTTTATGATGTTTTTCATCAATTAAAGGGAACCTGAGGCATTTTCCATGACAAATAGCTACTATAAAGAGAGCTAAAATAGCTACTATAAACGCATTCCACTGTAAAAAAAAAAAAAAAAACAGGCCAAATACTGTAGAGTAAAGATTGCTTATGGTCACGTCAGATGTACAGAATTTGTGCACCTGGATCTCAGCGTTTCAATGTCTCCTGTGGTAACTTTGTAACTCTGCTGACAAACTTTAAGATCAGAACAGAACAAAACATGCTGAGTTTACTCAAAAAAAACTAATCTTGAAGGCAAGTTAAAAGGGAAGATCACCTAAAAAGTTAAGCATTGAAGTCCATTAATCACTTTCATGTGGTTCCTCCTTCTTCATTCTTTCTTCACAAAATTAGATGTTTAGCAGAATGTCACGCTGCTATTTTCCATACAACAAAGGCTGGGGCTGTTAAGCCCTAAAAAGGACCAAAAAAACACCTTAAAAGGAGCTTTCTAAAGTCATGTAGTAAAAACTCATCTGAAATAAATAACTAAGTGCAATTTAGTGTTGTCAGAAATATCAAACTTCCACTTCATATCAATACTGAAATATCTGAAACGCTTCCAATACAAATTTTCCTCAAAATAGATACATGATACCAGCTCCTCTTTCTCTCTCACAAGTGACACACAAACCCGCCTCTCCTCACTCACTCTTTTCATTTGCTCAGGATGAATATTTTTGATGTTACAGGGCTTGAATTTCAGCGTGGGATTGCGCGTATTGCGCATAATTTTACTCATTCCAGAAGATTTTTTCGCTCACACCCAAAGTCAGTCTCTCAGTACTAAATTGAGTTAAAATAATGTCAAAATGCCGGTCTTGGCGAGTATTCACATAAACACAGTCAATTATGTTTTACGTGAACGTATACAGTTGAGAAAGAAAACGCATGTGTAACAGTATAACGGATCCACACGTCAGGTCTTAAAGTGACAGCAGCCTAATATACCTGCTGCCAAATTATGAGATAATATTAAAAATATCTATATGGCCGTTTTCTCCATGGTATCGATGTCAAAATTGTGGCCAGTGAAAGTGTGGCTAGTAACTTTGGAACACCACTAGCCAAAAAAACATTAATGTCAAGCCCTGGTTGTGTGTGTGAGGAACAAAAATTTGTCACTATTGACTGGGAATTTTCCACCACCATTCTGCTAAATGTCTCCTTTTATGTTCCACAGAGAAAGAAGTAATAAAAGTTTGGAACACATGAGGGTGATTCAATGATTTCACTTTTACTTTTTGGGTGCACTATCCCTTTAAGTTTTACATTATGTAAATATGAAGAGAGAGAGACAGGAAAGGCAGCGGGTCATTTCCTGTCCTTTGGGACGGTCTTGTCTGCCATTCTGAAGGGGAACAAAGTGACAAAGAAGCAGAGAGAGAGAGAGAGAGAGACTGCTGACTCACACTGGTTCTGTTGAGTGTATGAATCCTCTGGAGGAGCTGCTGAGAACCCCAGGTGTAGATAATGACCCGTGACCCCTGACCTCCCCGGGTCACCCCTCACCCTCCCACTGCTACCGCCCTAAAGAATGTTAATACAGTCCAGAGATCAGCTGATTCACTGACCCTCCTCTCATTCCTGCCAAGTCAAGCATTACTAGTACCAGTGTTCATAGGTGATGCACATTGAAACTCGTTTGTTTTTCCATCAGTTTTTAAATTTTTACACTGGGCATGAAAAGAGTTTTCATTCATGCATTCATTCACATTTATTTGTACAGTGTTTTTTACAATACATATAGTTTCAAAGCAGCATGTTTTTACATAACAATTTAGAGTAATCTGTTATCAGAGGTGACTGTGAAATGTAAGAAATGGTCTAAGATAATACAAATCATGTAGTTAACTAACATCATGTATTAATTTAGCCAGAAACAATGAGCGCAATAAAGACTAATTAAGAAAAGCTAGTTAAGACTTTGCAAACAGCTCTTCTCATATGGCACTATAAAGTTGGTGCGGCTGCACCCAAACATCAACTGTGGTTTCCCGTTATCATAACTGCTAATGAAGCCCTGTTGACCTTTAACGGGATGTCCCGAGCCAACGGAGGCTTTATTACAGGAAAGTGCTGATTCTGATTCTCTTTGGGCTCAAATAAAACGATCCAGCCAAAGGAGTTATGATGAAAAGAAACGCCAGACTGTAAAACGCTGAGGCAACAAGCAACAGCTTTTAGTCTCTCATTAGTTAGTGTGTTTGATTTCAAAGGCCGAACCTCCTCTGATTTCACGACACCCTGGCACCTTCGTTTTGAGCTGGTGTCGGGCCAGTAAAGCGCAGGGAACGCGGTTCAGGAGGGAGATGATCCGGTTGGCATGAGGCAGCGAAGCCGAGGCCGAGGAATGTTCTCCCAGTGCTGTCAGCCCCAGTTTGCGTCCCCGATGGGTTTTTCCTTCATAACGTCCATCATCTGTGTGAGTTCAAAGAGCGTCTAGCTGCAGGTCTTTGTCAAAAGCCCAGTTGGATATCTTTTATGTTGGGGATGTAGGATTTCTTAGGATACTTTGATTATTTATTTATTCCTCCACTCTTGTGTGATAGTGCCAATATTTTACACGAAACTGCTCAGCGCGCTCTGAAATTCATGTTACTTTATTGTAGCGCTGGTGCCTTTGAAATTTCTTTTTTGAAAGTCTGGCTTTTTCTCAACTCTCTCTCTCTCTCTCCTTCTCTTTTTCAGGCCCTCATCACATCTTCCCAACTTTCCATTCTCCGATCCCCATCGACGTGCGTCACCATGAGGGGAGATACCACTACGAACCCCATGCGCTCCACGCTCTGCACGGGTAAGCCTGCAGCCCTGTCCGTTTCTGGCTCTGGTTCTCAGTGTTTGTGAATATAAATAACCTCTGCGCTCGCAAATAAAGCATCTGCTTTGTTTATCCCTGCGGTCAGAAGGCACACAGACATGCAACATTCAAATGCGGTGTAATCACAGACACAGGTGATCCCAAACCAATGTGTTTGATGCTGAAAACATTCATAAAAAGCACGTGTGTTTATGACCGAAATGGACATTGTGAAGCACACATTATTTTGAGATTCAAAGCAAAAACTGAGCTACGTCATTCAGTTCTTGATTTAGTCGTTTAGAAAACACTTAAACCCTCGCCTTGTTTCCGTGCCAGATAAAAAACACTCAAGGCCGGGTAAATCTTACATCCAGGAAACAGATTAGTGCATTTCATGGGATCAAACATCTGGAAAGGAGAATATAAACTTTTCTTCTTTCGTCTTAGTCTCATTTCTGTCATGACAACTCTCGGAGTGATTGGCATGATAATGGGTATGACAATGTTGTATGTTTGGTCTTGGCGGGAAAGATCTGCTACGCTCCTGCTGCTGTGGCAGAGCAAGTACGGGACTTGCCAATACATACACGAAACGCTACTGTGAGCAAGTAAGACATGCTGCTGTTGTACAATATAGCGTACGTGAATAACCCGTAGCAGAACTATACAGGTGGAGGGTTTCTGAAGCACGCAGCACTGCTAAGGAAAACACTAATACAGTATACAGATGTGTGTTAAAATTATAATGACTGACGCTGTCTACACTGATACAGTATACAGATGTGTGTTCAGATTATAATGACTGACGCTGATACACTGATACAGTATACAGATGTGTGTTCAGATTATAATGACTGACGCTGTCTACACTGATACAGTATACAGATGTGTGTTCAGATTATAATGACTGACGCTGTCTACACTGATACAGTATACAGATGTGTGTTCAGATTATAATGACTGACGCTGTCTACACTGATACAGTATACAGATGTGTGTTAAAATTATAATGACTGACGCTGATACACTGATACAGTATACAGATGTGTGTTCAGATTATAATGACTGACGCTGATACACTGATACAGTATACAGATGTGTGTTCAGATTATAATGACTGACGCTGTCTACACTGATACAGTATACAGATGTGTGTTCAGATTATAATGACTGACACTGATACACTGATACAGTATACAGATGTGTGTTCAGATTATAATGACTGACGCTGATACACTGATACAGTATACAGATGTGTGTTCAGATTATAATGACTGACACTGATACACTGATACAGTATACAGATGTGTGTTCAGATTATAATGACTGACACTGATACACTGATACAGTATACAGATGTGTGTTCAGATTATAATGACTGACACTGATACACTGATACAGTATACAGATGTGTGTTCAGATTATAATGACTGACACTGATACACTGATACAGTATACAGATGTGTGTTCAGATTATAATGACTGACACTGATACACTGATACAGTATACAGATGTGTGTTCAGATTATAATGACTGACACTGATACACTGATACAGTATACAGATGTGTGTTCAGATTATAATGACTGACGCTGTCTACACTGATACAGTATACAGATGTGTGTTCAGATTATAATGACTGACGCTGTCTACACTGATACAGTATACAGATGTGTGTTCAGATTATAATGACTGACGCTGATACACTGATACAGTATACAGATGTGTGTTCAGATTATAATGACTGACGCTGTCTACACTGATACAGTATACAGATGTGTGTTCAGATTATAATGACTGACGCTGTCTACACTGATACAGTACACAGATGTGTGTTCAGATTATAATGACTGACGCTGTCTACACTGATACAGTATACAGATGTGTGTTCAGATTATAATGACTGACGCTGTCTACACTGATACAGTATACAGATGTGTGTTCAGATTATAATGACTGACGCTGATACACTGATACAGTATACAGATGTGTGTTCAGATTATAATGACTGACGCTGATACACTGATACAGTATACAGATGTGTGTTCAGATTATAATGACTGACGCTGATACACTGATACAGTATACAGATGTGTGTTCAGATTATAATGACTGACGCTGTCTACACTGATACAGTATACAGATGTGTGTTCAGATTATAATGACTGACACTGATACACTGATACAGTATACAGATGTGTGTTCAGATTATAATGACTGACGCTGATACACTGATACAGTATACAGATGTGTGTTCAGATTATAATGAATGACACTGATACACTGATACAGTATACAGATGTGTGTTCAGATTATAATGACTGACGCTGTCTACACTGATACAGTATACAGATGTGTGTTCAGATTATAATGACTGACGCTGATACACTGATACAGTATACAGATGTGTGTTCAGATTATAATGACTGACGCTGTCTACACTGATACAGTATACAGATGTGTGTTCAGATTATAATGACTGACGCTGTCTACACTGATACAGTACACAGATGTGTGTTCAGATTATAATGACTGACGCTGTCTACACTGATACAGTATACAGATGTGTGTTCAGATTATAATGACTGACGCTGTCTACACTGATACAGTATACAGATGTGTGTTCAGATTATAATGACTGACGCTGATACACTGATACAGTATACAGATGTGTGTTCAGATTATAATGACTGACGCTGATACACTGATACAGTATACAGATGTGTGTTCAGATTATAATGACTGACGCTGATACACTGATACAGTATACAGATGTGTGTTCACTTCAGATTATAATGACTGACGCTGTCTACACTGATACAGTATACAGATGTGTGTTCAGATTATAATGACTGACGCTGTCTACACTGATACAGTATACAGATGTGTGTTCAGATTATAATGACTGACGCTGATACACTGATACAGTATACAGATGTGTGTTCAGATTATAATGACTGACGCTGATACACTGATACAGTATACAGATGTGTGTTCAGATTATAATGACTGACGCTGATACACTGATACAGTATACAGATGTGTGTTCAGATTATAATGACTGACGCTGATACACTGATACAGTATACAGATGTGTGTTCAGATTATAATGACTGACGCTGATACACTGATACAGTATACAGATGTGTGTTCAGATTATAATGACTGACGCTGTCTACACTGATACAGTATACAGATGTGTGTTCAGATTATAATGACTGACGCTGTCTACACTGATACAGTATACAGATGTGTGTTCAGATTATAATGACTGACGCTGTCTACACTGATACAGTATACAGATGTGTGTTCAGATTATAATGACTGACGCTGTCTACACTGATACAGTATACAGATGTGTGTTCTGATTATAATGACTGACACTGATACACTGATACAGTATACAGATGTGTGTTCAGATTATAATGACTGACGCTGTCTACACTGATACAGTATACAGATGTGTGTTCAGATTATAATGACTGACGCTGTCTACACTGATACAGTATACAGATGTGTGTTCAGATTATAATGACTGACGCTGTCTACACTGATACAGTATACAGATGTGTGTTCTGATTATAATGACTGACGCTGTCTACACTGATACAGTATACAGATGTGTGTTCTGATTATAATGACTGACGCTGTCTACACTGATACAGTATACAGATGTGTGTTCTGATTATAATGACTGACACTGATACACTGATACAGTATACAGATGTGTGTTCAGATTATAATGACTGACGCTGATACACTGATACAGTATACAGATGTGTGTTCAGATTATAATGACTGACGCTGATACACTGATACAGTATACAGATGTGTGTTCAGATTATAATGACTGACGCTGTCTACACTGATACAGTATACAGATGTGTGTTCAGATTATAATGACTGACGCTGTCTACACTGATACAGTATACAGATGTGTGTTCAGATTATAATGACTGACGCTGATACACTGATACAGTATACAGATGTGTGTTCAGATTATAATGACTGACGCTGTCTACACTGATACAGTATACAGATGTGTGTTCAGATTATAATGACTGACGCTGTCTACACTGATACAGTATACAGATGTGTGTTCAGATTATAATGACTGACACTGATACACTGATACAGTATACAGATGTGTGTTCAGATTATAATGACTGACGCTGATACACTGATACAGTATACAGATGTGTGTTCAGATTATAATGACTGACGCTGTCTACACTGATACAGTATACAGATGTGTGTTCAGTTTCTGACAGACTCCACTCACTTGAGTCTGCCAACAACAGGACAAATGGAAGAGTGAAAGAACGTTTACTTTGACACGTCCAGTTTAAACACCTTGTTTACGTTTCTGTACAGACTTCATAAGGATCCGAGCATTGGAAACATGGATGGTTTATTTTAATAGCGTCCCGAATCACTTTAGAGGACTATATGTTAGTTCGGAGCATTTTATTTTGTAAACGAGGCAAGTGTAATACGCCAGGCCATCCAAGATGTATGTGTCTTTTTGTAGAACAGTAAAAAAAAAAATGCTTGATGATTCATAAAATGCATGTCAACGGCTACCGTCAAAAAAACATACTATACAGGCAAAAAAAAAACTCCTGACGATACATTGAGGTCTTATGAAGCGAAACGATCGGTCTTGTACAAGAAACCAAACATTACCTGTAATCCACAACCTCAGCAAACAGTCCTGAGTGTGTTCACGAGCACAAGCTTCCTGTCGCATTATGACGTGATTTTTTAGCTTTGTTTTAAGTATCCATTTTGTCATCTTAGATCGTTTGATCTTGGGAGGATTTGATTAGAAATTGAGTTCATATTAAGACTTTTGGTGACAAACTCTAGAGGAGACACGTGGAATTAGTGGGGAGAAACGTGAGAATCAGGACACGTCAAGTTTTTAGTTTTGTTTCAGATCAGATCATTTGATCTTGGAAGAATATGATGAGAAAGGTTTGAGCTCATATTGA